TTTTTCTACACAATAACAATCGTGTTATGTCTCCTACCAGTAACTTTAACCCAATCAAGGAAGACCTCCATACTTGTAAACATGTGTATCCTTTTGAATATCAGAGTTGTGTGTTGATATATCCTAGATTAAAAGCACAGTGTCAAATAGAGCCATTGACATAAATTCAAAAATAAAATAGGATGTGCGGTAAATAAAAGATAAAATCCAAAAATTGATTACAGTATGTAGTAAAACAAGATAAAATAGGATGCCTTTTTTATTTCAATTAATATTCAAAAAACCCTGAAAGAAATGATCGAACGACGTTGCCTAAAGTAATTAGATTTCAATGTTGCTCAAATCGAAGTCTTAAAATTTACGAATTAATGCCCCCAACCACCAATACAATAAAAGATTATTTTTAACATTGATCACAGAATATTCGTGTCTACTTCTATATGCTTAAAGAAAATCAAGAATTTGAAGACAACGAAGCCGTACGGCTCCAGCTGTGTAAGTTGTTACTAGTTGCAATTTTTCACTACTAACTGAAATACATTGCGTTAAACTTTTGTATTGATACACTTCTACGAGATTCTATTCATATGGCAAATAAAGAGCCTGTTTGACGTCCTTTATTTCACAAAATTTACTTTTTGCAACTGTATAATGGGGCCCACGTATGCAATATGATGTATTCATGTCAACAAGAAAAAAATTGTTTATTACTTTTATGATGTGTATCTCTCCAATTTTACCTTTAAATAAATGCCTAGTTACCAACCGAAATTGGAGAGAAAGATTGATGGGCAAATAAGTAAATTTACATGACAAACTGAGGGCAAACACGGTATTTAGATTTAAACGTGTGGATTTTTAAAATTTGTGTCATGTCTGTCAGTCGCTTTAAAAGTGGATAAATATAAAAGATTGATAAAGGAAAAAATTGACTCCCATCTTTCTATTGCCATGTAAACTAGTGATTCAATATCAGTGCTAGTATATAGAATTACTCTTACATAAATCTATCTGAAAAGCTAGAACGTCTGCAAATTGATTAGTTTTCACCAACCCTTCGAGACTGTCACGAAGGTGCAATGATTGTTGTAGAAATAGAAGTATAAGCAGCCAACGAAAAAATGTCCCCTTTCAGGAGTGATTGTCAAATTTTTCTCCCAACATAATTATAGATTTATCAAGACATAAAACTAATTTTCGAGGCTCTCCATTACTTGAACACGAATCAAACCACTCCAGACCCCTTCTCTTTCTCCCTCTAATCAGCTATCCAGCTGGTTAATAGCATTACAACACGTTAAAGGGACGAAAGAAGAAGAAGATGAGGATTTTTAATTTTTTTTGGGGGCGAACAAAAAAACACCATCTCCAAGACCACCAGTGTTATCTCTTCAAAATGGACTAGGTTTGGCGTCTATCCCAGGAATTTTCCTTTTTGTTAACGTACATGCAAGCTATAGGGAAAGACATATACCTACGTTTTGGCTCTCTTCAACAAGAGACGCAATGAAAATATTCCCAAAGCAGAAGTCTGCCAAAACCATCCTCTGGCATTCGCAGGATCCACCTTTTTCGCAAGTTTCCAAGCATATATAGCCTCGCCAATATGTGCCGATACAGCTAGAAGGAAAAACATCTTTAGACCCCACATGGAGCGTACAAAGAAAAGGCTGATTGCTCTAAGCAAGGGAACGGGACCAAAATCAGGTATGTACGCAGCAGAAAACAGAGAAATCATTCCAATCACAACAAACAGCCATGCGTAGATGGTTGGTCCATCCAGTGTTCTCTTTTTCCTCTCTTGCCAGTATGCAATAGTTTCAGTCATACCTTCTTGGGGACTCACCATTGGAATGTAGCCAAGTTCCTCCTTTGCCTTTAAGTAAGAGAAGTAATGGGTTACGCCAACCTGCCAAAGTACAAGAAGTTTATCATAGCTGAAGTCGCATAAATTATTCGACAACTTATAAACCCAATGCAACAAAAGATAGGAAAGAACAAGCCTTAATGATAAGCTATAACTCAGAATGAAACTCCTATTTGAGCAACCTTTTGAAGTCACAAAAGCAGCAAACTTAATTTCTTGCAAATTGAAGGGAATCAATCATCGTGCTAGTGCCAATTGTTTTCTAGTTTCCAGATAGAAGAAAGAGGTGTCGATAATAATTGAGAAATACGGTTAACTGAAATCTAGACAGCATAAGTTCTGAATTTCGTTAGTTCATAATGCTGTTCTCTTCCTTGACATTGTAACACTTGTCCCGGATGTTGTTTGTGGCACTTGTTGCTTTATACCCCGAAAGGGGAATAAAGTGACCCACCAACAGGTGTCATTTACAACCATTTCCCCACTTGAATGCCCACTGAGTCAATTGTATTCTGGTTTTATTGAGGGATGCAGTTCGTGCATCCCATAATTAACATGTTACGTTTCCCATGAAAAAAATTAAATAATCTTGGCAGCAGTATGTGGTAGTCATCATCTTTAAACAAAAGAAAAATGATATTGAAAAACCTGTAAGAAATCTGTTGCCAGTCTCAAAAAAATATAAATGTCTGTTAATTGTATGTTGTCATCACAAAATAACACGTCCATTCCCATATAAGCTCTATAAGAGTTTCATTACCATCCCATTTAATAAAAAATACATAATCACGAGGTTTAATGATATAAAATTATACGTGATAAGCCAGTGTAAAAATGAGAAGGCGTAATCATGCATAACGTCATATTATGATTCTATGGTCGATTTATTTCAGCAAGAGGATGGTACACAAGAAGATCACTAGATATCTGTAATAAATAGACCATAAAAGAAAAGGAAAGGAGGAAAATCTAAGTATGGTACCTTGTATACTTCAGCAGGAAGGATCAAAGGCTGAGGAAGCCACTTCTTACTCAACCATGGATACAAAGCTGTGTAGAAAGCCCAAAATAAGTTTCCTAGAAAAAGAGCGTGTGGAACAGCTAATGACATCTTCGGCAAGTCATAGTCCAGGCTTTTGAGTAGTGGGAGGATGAATAGAAAAGTGTTGACTGGAGACCCTGTGAATGAAAGAAAAACCATATACTGATGATTATTAATCAATCAGAAAATATTGGATCTCAACAAGAAGCACTAGATAGAGTTAGTGTCTCTAAAGCCTTCTCATCAAAGAAGCCATCAGAGAAACAGAATTTTAGTACTTAAAAGTTTTAGTCAGACCAGCCCAACTTTCATTAACATAAATCATATTGAAATGTACGCCAATTTTACCATCTGATATGAAGTAAGGTTGACCAGCAGCAACTGGGTGTCCTTCTCTCCCGGGAATGTCGTCCAAAAGTCCCATACTAGCTAAGAGCAGGGCCAATACAAGGTTATCCACATAAACCCAGTCTGTTTTTACACTCGTCGTGCCAATTTTAAATGGCAGAAGACCTAACTTAGCAAGATTTATGATCCTTGGAAAATGCCTTTCTTCACCCGGTCCATATATGGCAGCAGGACGGATTGCACAGGTATAGAGACATTTTCCTTTCTTCTTTCTGCACATCATGAGAAATCACATAAAAGGAAATCAAACAGCTTCTGGAACAACTTTTAAAAGTTTCTCTGAGAGAAGCATTATATCAAACGTTCAAACTTAGTACGTAACATCAAGATTATGTGTGTTTTGCTTAAAAGTAAAGATATTACAGCATACTTACTTGAAGGGACGTCCATTGCTCTTCAGGACTAATTGTTCAGCTATAGATTTACTACGGCCATATGGATCGACGTGGTCATCCATGGGGAAGTAAGGTAAGCTTTCGTTGCCATTCACAATTTCTTTTCCACCAAACACGACATTGTACGTGCTCACATATACCAGTCTCTGAACCCCATTATCCAGGCAAGAATCGAGGACGTGGCAGGTTCCGTTTATGTTTATCTCGTCTACACGGCCATACTGAATCATTTCTTTGCCAGACATGCCATACGAAGCGAGGTGGAAGACACAGTCTGCCACGCGTAAAGCCTTTTCAACGTCTTGTTTGTGAGAAATATCCCCTAAAAGTTATAAATTATGAATGAATTAGATCTAATACAAGTCCTTGCGGAAGGAAGGAAGCCAAAAAACAATGCAAGACCGACTCAAACAAAATCTCCAGGATCTCCTATGATACACTTGGGAAACATTGCATTCTTTTTTGAGAAAGATCTTGATAAACGAGGTAAGTTGAAAATTACCATATCATGATAATATAATCAATAAGCTAAAATTATAAATGAATATATCTACACAGTCCTGTTTTCACACATTCTGATCCCAGTATTCTGTGGCATCCATGTAGTAAACCCAGACATTTGAATTTCTGATACTGATCAGTTTTATTTATTCTGGTGCATATGCATTCAACACTTACTAATCATCAAGATATATAACTAACATTAAGTAAAATCAGTAATAATTAACTCATTAATTAGCAAAGAATAATTATTATCTCAGTTCCTCAATCCTCTGTTACTCCTCTACTTGCTTAATAAATAATGAAAAACGTTGAGGTATAAAAAAATGTTCAGAAAAATAAAAGCAACAAACTTCTATAAGATCAAACTTTTCTTAAGTATTGGACAAATTCATGAAAAATCATTGAAAATTATAGATATACTCCCACGGATTCAGTTAAACTCTCAGTTCTAGTCGCCTCCATCAACCGCAAAAAAATCAAAAATTAGAAGCTTTATACAAGTTCTCAATCAAATATATTTCAAATGCAACCTGAGAACCCAAAAAAATAAATAAATAAATAGTCTAAAGCAAATATACCCTGGACGCAGTCAACGCCGTGACGGCGAAGATCATTGGACCAAGGAGACTCCGTGCGAAGATCGAAGGCTCGAACCTTGCGAGCGCCTCTTCTAACGATCTCTAAGCAGAGTGCAGAACCCACGAAACCCAGCCCACCAGTCACCACGAAGGTGTTGTTCTCTATCCCCTCGTTCTCGCTCAAATGCATCCTTCAAATCAGACTCTCTATAACTCTGTATAAACCTCTACAAATGAATTTTTTGCTGCTCGATAATTTCAAAGATGAATTTATAGATTGAGATTTCAATTTGATTGTTGCATTGCATTTGACTCCAGACTGGCATAATATTGGTTTCAAGAATAAATCTAAGTGTACAACATTGGTTGACAACAACATTGGTTGACAACAACGGTTGACAATCATGTGTTGTCAAAATCGTAGCATGTGATGTAGAAAACAGTTTTTTAAAATGGATGGATATGATGATGTCAAATAGGATGTTGTCAACTAATGTTGTAAACCAATGTTGTACATGTAGCATGATTCCTTTAAAAATGCGGTGCCGATCAATTTTTGACCACTAAAAATTTAAAGAATCTCCCTCGTTGCTCACTAAATTTTGAATACGTTTTCGATTGCTCATTAAATTTTGAATACGTTTTCGATTGTTCATTAAATTTTGAAGTGATTGAATTTTAGCCACAAAATTTATAAAAATGAGATTGACCTATTGTCCGTCAAAAATGTACACCGCAAAAGCAGGGTCGTGTAAAAATAATAAAGTAGACAAACGAGTCCAAATTGTCGATCTCACGAGCTGATGAACTTTATTGTGTATTTCATTGTTAAAATTAAATTAAAATAAAATTTGAGTTTTGAAAACGAAACCCACAGTAGATTTAATTAAATAGATTTGACAAACACCAAAATTCAAATTTTAATTTAATATAATTTTAACAACGAAACACACAATAAATTTGAATTTTTCAAATGACGAAAATAATTTAAAATTCTATAAAAAAATGTTAAAATTAAATTCAATTATTGTGAAATTGAGTAATCATTTCTTATGTGATCCACAACCCTGACTCATTTATCCAATTTATTACTTTTATACGATATGTGCGTTTGTGGTATACATTTTTTAATGACCAATAGTCTGACGTCATTTTTATAAATTTAGTGGTCAAAATTTGACCACTTCAAAGTTCAATGAGCAATTAAAGTAATCGAAAACGTTTTCAAAGTTTAGCGAGTAATGAAAGATGCTTTAAATTTTTAGTGGTCAAAATTCAACCACCTCAGAGTTCAGTGAGCAATGAAAGACGTTCAAAGTTTAATGAGCAATTAAAGACATTTTTCAAAATTTAATGAGCAATGAAAGACGTTTTCTTACGTGTCAATGTGTTAATGGGATGACAGAGCGCCACATGTACATTCTATTTGTCACGTCACTAATTCTGTTAAAAGTTTGAAATGAATGTTATGCCACTAAGTAACGTCCAACGTTTGGATAAGTTTAGTGGTCAAAACTCGACATCTTAAAGTTTAGTGAGCAATCGAAGATATAAACTTGAGTTCATTGGGAGAATTAACTCGATACTTTTCTTTTAAGGACGTAAAGGCAAAAGAATTAATTAAATTAGTACTCACCCAACTTTACTTTGGGCCTTCTTGGGAGTTGCGGGATATCGGTTAAGAGCGTTTTTTAAAGAATCGATTTTGATCGTTTATTAAAGTGCTAATTTTGAGTCATTTTAGTAGCAATTTTTCAAATAGTCCAGCCAATATTTGAGAGCTTATTATTCATCGGCTCCATAAATTTTTTAAAAGAATAAAATTACATATATGACATTTAGTGAAATTTTCAGTTTATAATTTTTTGTCTAAAATGTTTTTGCTCATAAATTATATTTTACTTATAGTTAACTTTTTCACATATAAATTAATATTTAACTTAAAATGTTAAATGAAGTTAAATATTTACTTCAAATTTTAAGTTTGTACTTTTTAATTATGAGTAAACTTTACAAATTATAAGCTTGTACTTTTAAATAATTCTTAAGTGATTTTTTACTTATAAATAACTTTGTTTGTTTATGAGTAATTTTTTGTCTTGTTAGTAGTATTTTTATTTTATAAACAAATTTTTTTTTACATAAAAGAGGCTTTATCTTATAAATAATATATTGCTTATAAGTGTATTTTTAATTGTAATATAATTCTTTTGCCTATAAATAATTTTTTAATTAATATATTTTTATTTAAAAGTTAGTTTGAATAAAATATGTTGATAGAAATTAATAATTTTATAGAAGACAAAATTCGAAGAGAATAAAAGAAATGATAAAAAAATCGTCGATTTAGTGGATTGAGAGAATCAGTCAAAATTATCCCACTCATTTTGGTTGATTTTTAAACCATCCAAAATTGGTTTCAAAAAAAAAAAAAAAANATGAAAAGTAATTAAACTCTTAGTTGCCCCCTTCTGAATAACTAAAAAAAAAAAAAAACTAGCAAACACCGATTTTTTCAACCCCTCATAAATGGTGGCACTAGAAATCGGTGAAAAAATAAATAAATAAAAATCTTAAGCAAGCTCTTAACTACTACTTTTTTATCCAAATTTTAAAAATTACTCATTCCTCATTCATATTTTTTTAAAAAAATTACTAATTCATCACTCACACCAATTACATCTGTCCACATGAATAAAAAGATCTACATGGCGCTGATGGATAGATAACATTTTCTAAAAATGAGTGAGCATTGAGTAACTTTTTTATTTTTAAATTTGAGTGAGCAAATAGTAAACTTGCATTAGCTTTGAATGACACTAAGTGTGAGCCTTTATACTTGAGTAAAATAAACGAGATCCATCGGATGATAGGGCACGTTGCCTCTTCAGATCGATTGGCCCTTTTTGTTGTACACATCAATCAATCAATCAAGGCATTAAATGCTATGACCCCTTTCGTATCCATTAGTCCTATTTTTTGCAATTGGGATTTGACTGTGTAGGTGTGCAGAGGTGGCGTTGGCAGTGAATTGTCTTATCAATCATTTCACCACAAGATCTACTAGGGATCTCGCCATTGCCTCGTCACGGCTGACTCCTACATGAGGCATCTGCCCAAACGGGGTTGGTCCGGTTTCATTTCATGGGGGAAGGGGTTGCCTCCATACATATAACAGGTCATCTGTGTTGCTATGTAGGGTGTGGGGCCCTCATCATCTGTCACGTAGTTTAATCAGCGCCACGTGTGGCCTCTAATTTATCTTACGAGTAACAGCACTTATTTTTCAGATGCCCTTTCTAAAATTGTTAAGACTTTTCTTTATCCCGTACAGTTTTAGGCAACAAATCTATTAACTGAATTAATTAATTACGTTTTCTTTGGACAGATGTGGCGAAAATGGGAGAAAAAGAATGGAATTTCTTCAGATTAAGACACAGGAAATACCCAATTGGACTGAGAACAAACTGAGCAACTAGTGCAGGTTGTTAGAAAGCTACAGGAAAAATAGAGAAGTGTACGGTAGTGGATCAAGTGGTGCACTTCTTGGAATGAAGAAAACCCTTGTTTTTTCACAAAGGAAGAGCCCCACGAGGAGAGAAAACTACGTGGGTCATGCATGAATGGATTAATCTATTTGTACAATCATGGACGAAAATGTAATTGACAATGTACGAGTTGTCAAAAAACTCTTTGTAGCAAAAATAACTATCCAATAACAGTTTGCCACATGACATATTATAATAAGATTGTTATCCATGATTGTACATCAAGCATGATTGTGCATGAATACCTATGACGAAGACTTCTCCTGCTGTCACACATGCAAGGTCACTTCACTCACTCCCACCAGATCATCAAAACGATGCGGTTTGTGTTCTTGTAGTGTAGACTTATTTTTTGACTTGGGAGAAAGAGATTATGAAATGGAACCTAAAAAGCTTCATCCTTATGAATACACAATTTAAATTGGGATTTGAATCAAACTCCTTGTATAGATGAAATATACCAATTTTTTTACAGATGGTGAGGTAACAATACTGAATTGGCTTATTTGAAGTCCATTTTTGTCCAACATTCAATTAAATTGTGTCAGCTCGCAATCTATCAAAGCAAAAATCCTTGTACATGTACCATGATTGTTGTATTTTTTATCATACTAGTAGAAAGCACGTGTTGCATGTTTTTTGTATCGTGCGTAATGTTTTAGAAGTACCAACACTGCTTTTAAAATTTCGGTATATTTCATATATACAAGTAGTTTGATTCAAATCCCAATTTAAGTTTTGTGTGTGTGTGTGTGTAATGTGAAAATGTAGAATAAACTTAAATGTAATGTTATGATTACAATAGCACTTCTTTATACATAATATTTTTTGTCAACGTCCCACATCATTTCTTCTTTTTATTTTCTGCTTTTACCAAGATTTTTGTTGTTTGTATAGAAACTCCTCGAGAAAGTGAAATATATAGTTGCCCATGAAAGAATACATGTTCGGAAATGTATATTCCAACAGTAAACACTGTTTATCCTTGAGTCTCGTTAATATATTTCTTGAAATCACAACAAATCATTCTTGGGTCATTGCAAAGACCGTTGGGTGGGTCCAGATTCCTCAAGAGCATCACTGGACAATATCTTTTAAGATTAACTTATGTGGTGAGATACCATTTTGTAGCAATATATTTAAGAACTCCTCTTGATAAAATTGATTTATATCATCTATTGCTTCGTCAAAGTTGACAAATTCTTCACTTCTTGTCAATAAGGTAGTCAACACATTCATTTTTGGTTGAAAGAATTTCACGTTGTATCATATAATCAGAAAAAGATGCATTTTTCGTTAAACCTGTGAACAGTGCATTGATTAAGTGTAAATTCTAAGTTTCAACATCATCACATGTTATAACTATCTCATTTGGTAAGTTGATAAACTCATCCTTTATATAAGGTTTTGTTTCATTACCAATTTTGATTTAGTATTGTGCAAATCGATTGTCCAATATTATTTTTAATATGTAATATTAGGTTTGAAAAATTTAACTGGATAAGTAATATTTTTTAATAAATTTTATATATTAATATTAATGGACGTAATAAAATATTTCAATTCAAGTTAATTATATATGTAGTATTATTATAA